AATTTTCGAGAACAGCTTGACTTGGAATTAGTTCCATCACCTGCCATAACAACACCATCGCCATCATTACCATCTTCTTCAAACACTATTGATTCTTTATCATCTTCACCTAGTACACCACTTTCAGCTGATGTTCTCAATTGGCTATCGATATTTTTAGCTATGTCCAATGATGATCGTAGTCGTGCTACAGAAGCACTTATACGTACTTGTTCAACGAATACTCTTCAATTAAATCATATAAAAAATCAAATAGAACCATATTTTCAACGTGATTTTATTCGTGATCTACCACGAGAATTAGCCCTACATATCCTTAAATATTTACCAGCAAATGATGTTGCACGAGCATCACGTACATGTCGATCTTGGTATGCAACATGTAATGATATATTATTATGGAAACGTATATGTCATAGAAAAAAAATTCCATTAAAACAATTATCAACAATATTTGATGATACAATTGATAATCCATGGAAACGTTCATATGCATGTCATAAGCATTTAGAATATATTTGGCAACATGGACAACCATTACCAGAACCATTAGTATTACGTGGTCATGAAGATTTTGTTATAACTTGTTTACAATTTGATGGAAAACGTATTGTATCAGGTTCAGATGATAATTCATTAAAAATTTGGTCGATTGCGACTGGAAAAGTAAATCAAATTTTTATTTAATACAATGTAAATAGTCTTTTTTGTTTTTTGTTTATCTAGTGTGAGCAAACATTAATTGGACATAATGGTGGTGTATGGTGTAGTGAAATGACAGATGATTTAATAGTTAGTGGAAGTACAGATCGAACAATTCGTGTATGGAATATAAATACAGGAATTTGTCAACATATTTTATATGGACATACATCAACAGTACGATGTTTAGCATTACATGGTGATATTGTTGTATCTGGTTCACGTGATGCTACTGTTCGGTAAAATATTAAAGAAATTAAAATTTATAAAAAAAAAAAAATTTTCGTTTTTTTTTTAGAGTATGGAATATTCGTACAGGTGAACGTCTTCATATGTTAAGTGGTCATACAGCAGCTGTACGTTGTGTATGTTATAATGGAAAATATGTTGTATCAGGTGCATATGATCATACTATACGTGTATGGTTACCTGATCAAGAACGTTGTGTACATACACTTGAAGGACATACAAATCGAGTTTATTCTCTTGTCGTATGTATTAAATTTATTATTTATTTTTTATTTTTTTTAATTCTTTTTAAATGAAATTTAGTTTGATGGTAAACATATTGTATCCGGTTCATTGGATTGTATGATACGTGTGTGGGATGTTGAACAAGGAACATGTATACATCAGTTAACAGGACATTTATCATTAACAAGTGGAATGCAATTACGTGGAAATATACTTGTTTCTGGAAATGCTGATTCAACAGTAAAAATTTGGAATATTGAATCCGGAAAATGTCTACATACACTTGCTGGTTAGAAGAAATATTTTTTTTTGTTTTTGAAATGTTGAATAATGTTTTTTTTTTTTTTTAGGAAGAAATAAACATGCATCAGCAGTAACGTGGGTGCAAGTTGTAATGAATTATGTTGTTAGTTCAGGTGATGATGGAACTGTTAAATTATGGGATTTAAATACAGGAGATTTTATTCGAAATCTTGTTACACTTGAATCAGCTGGCAATGGAGGTAATATACAAAAAATAATTATTAGTTTATGAAATTATTTCATGAAATATGATGTTTTGATGTTGAAGTGTGGAAATAGAAAATTTGAACGTTTACTCCGTCATAGATTGTAACAGAAACTTTAGCAATATTCATTCCCAGTAAAGATTTTTTAAAAGTCTATCGAAAGAAAAATAGCTGTTTTTTAACAAAAAACAAATACTCCATCACAACTCTCAATTGTTGCGTCATATTGTTGAGTAGAGATCAATTATTTGCAAATCATCCTTGAAAAATATCGATTATACTTAATTGTGAAATCTCAGACATTTTATTATTATGATTAATATATCTAATATGAATACTTTTATTTTTATTTTTAAGGTGTTGTTTGGCGAATTAAATGTACAGATTCAGCGTTAGTATGTGCAGCTGGCAGTCGTAACAGCACAGAAGATACTAAAGTGATCATGCTTGATTTCGATCGCACAACGATCTGTTCATAGTGTTATATGTGTTCTATTGTCTTTAATTCTGTGTCTTTTAAAACGTTTGTCTCAATTCTCATATTTGTTGTCTATGTTGTTGATTATTCTTTTTTTTTTCCTTCTTCTTTCATTTTGTTTCTTCACTATTCTCAGTGTGCCAACTATTGTCGGTTTTTCCTTCTTCTCTCTCTTTTTTTTTTCATTGTTCTACTGATTTCTTTTTTTTTTTTTTATATATATATACATATATTATTATTATTAACTCAACGCACACTGTCCCTCTTGTATCACGTCTTCATCCCATTAGTAAGAGAAGAAGCACGCGACAAAAACATATATATATATGTGTGTGTATGAAAAAAAAACCGAAACAGAAACAAAAATAAACTTCAACTAGTTTTTTTTTGATCTCTAGAAAACAAAATAAATAAAATAAAAAATGGCTTTTACATTAGACGAATTTCATCAATGTATAATTGATCTATATGAACAATCAAAAAAAATTCATGATCGATGGCAATTAATTGAAACAACAAAAGGATCATATTTAATTTATTCATTGATTGATAATAATTGTTTAAAATATGAATTTCATGTTGTATTTAGTGAAAGTTATTCTGTACCCGTATTATATTTTAATATAAGTCATTTAGATGGTTCATTATTATCATTAGATGATATATGGAAATTATTTATACATAAAAAAAATTCTAATATGTATGAAACAATAACACAACAAGAACATCCAATACTTCATCGACCATTTTTTATACTTCATCCTTGTCATACAGAAAATTTGTTAAAAAAAGTAGCCGAACAATCAATAAAAAAACGATTTCTTTTTTGGCTTTCAATATATGGACAATCGATTGGTTTACCTCTGTCAGTTAAATATGCAATGGATTAAATTTATTTAGAAATTCTTTTTTTAAATAAACAATATTTTTTTAAACTTGTTCCAACCAAGGGTTTTATTCCATCTGTTCTATAAACGTAATTTTCCTCTAACAAATAGGTTTTTTTTGTGAATGTTTCAGATCTTATTGCTGTTCCTGTCGTAAGATACAATTTAAAGGACTTGAAATTTTTATAATAAGCTTTTCTCGTTAAGACCTGTTCCAAGTTAAAATTCAAAAATAAATTTTTCTCGGACACTAAATCTTTTCAGAATATTCATAACTAGTTTGGATTTACATAATGTATATGGTCTTGACTCATTTAAATTAAAATAAAAAAAGTAATTCTTTATCATACATTATAAACTTTTACTCTCGATACAAGTCTTCATTTGTTTTTGAATAAAAATGTTAAGAAAAAATTTTCTTCTCTTAGCGCTCATATAAACATGCAACAAACTCGAAGGTTCGGATTCGATCGCATATGGACAACACAGTTTGACACTAATCTATGTATATTTATTCTTACGAATGTTTTTAATATATGCTCAATGATTAGCTATTCAAACTGGTCGAAGGCATGGATACAATCTATTCTAACATTCTGCAGATTTTTTTATATCGAGACTGAGTTAATATATACAAATAACTATCGAGATTTGATTAGTTTATGATAAGTTCATTGAAACATTTTTATTGTTTGTATTATTTGGTTTATTTATAGTACATTTGCTTACATTTATTGATATGCTCGTATGAGTATAGGTATGATGATTAGTTTAGGTCGTAGAAAACATATGTCGTATAATTATCTTCTAATACTTCTTGAATGTTTGTCAACATTTATTATGTTTGTATTGGTACATGATCAAGTCATTAAATAAATGCCATCCGTTAAAATCTTGATTGTCGATTAACAGCTATGATTATAGGTCAAAGCGTATTTATGATTATTATTCGTTATCTTTAATTGTTTTTTGATTTTTTATGACTAGAACACATATACAACAAGCAGAGAAAATGTTGCTTTTCATAATATTATTGATAGAATTATTATTGTATTTATAATGGAAATTTTGCGTTGAATCGATTAATGAACATATGAATAATATGTTAGCATATGATAATGTAGGAGCGGCTTTGAGAACCAATTTCTTTTTCTGAAAGATAGTTCATAGTTCTTTTGACAAAATGTTGTCTTCGAAAACATTTGAACAATTTTTAAGAATAGATTTCAGAACGTATTACTTATCATAGTTTGCCTCAATTCATATGTTACTAATGCAACATATTTTAATCGATATAGAATTGTAAACTCTATAGAATAGTATTTGCTTCATGTACATGAAATGAAATCAAGTCCGAATGGAATGCCTAGAAACTTTGATTACTCACCAGAACGGTCACCTTCAAGGAACTATCCCGACGATAAATCGTTTGAGAGCATGAAATATCTTGTAATTACATTTCAATCGATGTAAAACTTCAACTTCTATCAGACCATGTATCAGTCATACAGATAAAAATTATCTCAAAAGTAACTATATTCTACGGAAACCTTAAAAACAGAATTTTATATCGTAATGTATATAAGGATGCGTTACAGTACATAAGCCATTCGAGAATCATATATGAATCTAGACTAGAGATGTATGGCATTGGAATCAGAAGAAAAAAAAATTGTTCTTATTGAAGCTAAAGATTGTAGTTCAGTCTTCTATGATTTGAAGTGAACTATCTTATAAATTATATCAATTTGAAAGTTTCAAGCACTATAGAATATAAATTCAATGTTCATAAAATAAAAAAATTCGCACATATTCACGAATATCTTGATTATTTCATACTTATTCAATATTTTACACAATTTCAATTTATTAGTCTTATAGAATATGTATTGAAAAATATTTCATAAATAAGCTCGATTTAAACATAAGTCTGATGTCTTTCTTTTTTTTTTAATTATTGTTTTGAACATCAAAAAATTCGTTATCCGTTGGAGCAGTTGAAGTTCGACTAGGATAGGTAGTATCATAATTATTGTATTGATTTCGATCTCTATTACGATTTCTATTTGAATGGTCATAATTTATTGAATCACGTGATTCATATCCACTACCAATTTCATAATTATCAAATTCTTTCCATGTATTAATATCTGGACAAAAACGGTTTGTTCCTGTATTTCGGTAAAGTGGAAATGATGGTTCACATCGTTCCTCTAAACAAAAAAAAAATAATAATAATAAATTTAGAAGATAATAATCGTTGAGAAAAATAACTTACCATAATCTTCTCGTGCTTCACGTTTTTGTTCTTCACATTTGGTTGTACCGGGATGAAAAAAGGTTCGTTTTAGAAAACGATTAGCATGAACCGCATCTAAAGATCAATAAGAATGAAACGAATTTATGATGAAATATAGTGCATTTGTTAGAATTAGAATAAACTCTATTGTTCGATTAATTGTGTATTAACATTATATAAAAAGTTTAACAATAAAAATTATTCAATCTAGAATAATATTCGAAAACAATGACGCAGCAGCAAGAATAGACGAAAAAGAAATGATACGTTTATGATATAATCTGTATTAAAAATACAGAAGTAATTAGATGATCAATCGATATAATTATATCATCAAGTATGATATTTAAAAAGAAAAAAGAAAATGTGTCATTCTTCGTCATTAACACTTCGTTTGCCTCCAATGCCTGCTGTGATAAGTCCACCGATAACACCTGCAATAACTTTTTCCATACTCATATTTTGTGGTACTAATTTACTCAATGTATCTAAATCAAAACCACCTCCATCTCCAATTTCATATGTATCTAATTCACGCCATTCATTAATATCAGGACAAAAACGATTGCTTTTACGATCTCGTTGCCATGGAATCGATGGTTCACATCGTTCTTCTATATTTATTTTAAAACAAAGTTTTTAATTGTTCCAAATGAATAATCTTCTCATACCGTAATCTTCTCGAGCTTCACGTTTTTGTTCTTCACATGCAGTCAAACCTGGATGAAAAATGCCACGTTTTCGACGAAGAAATTCATTTGATGCAGAACGTGCTATAGCATAGAACAAAGGGTCAAAAAGAGACAGTGAGAGAGAGAGTAATAAGATATTCGATGGTTTGCAGGAAAAAAAGATTATTATATATTAATAAATTATTCATAGAAACTGTTACAGAAAAAAACAGAAAACTAAATAGTTATTGTACTTCATATTTAATAAAAGCTGGCCAATTTTTTAATTCAGGACAATAACGTCTTTTTATTGGATCTTTATCTGTTAATCTAACATGAATTGATGGTTCACAGCGTGATTCATATGCTGCTTTTGCTTCACGTTTGTGTTCTTCACATTTAGTTTTAAATTGTTTGTAAACCCGTTTGTCGATGAGAAATGACAGAGCATTGAGTTCGTCTACATACACACACATATAACGACCGATACATTCGATTAGAAATTTTTAAAGAAAACAAGTTCGCAAACGCAGAATAAAAAAAACTTGCACAAAACCTGTCTCTAATATCTGAAAAAGATATATATATATTTACCTTCTTCGAAGTCATCTTCATTAGCAGCTTGAACCCCGTTATTTTCAATCGTACTAGCCAACACAACGATACCGACAAGAAGAATTATTGAAATTTTCTTCATTTTCTATGTCGAAAAACTATGAATATTTCGAAGAAAAACAATAACAAACAATTTACTTGATATTTACCCCTCTTATAACTTGTTATATTTCTGCAAAAAAAAGAAAGATAATACTGAAGCAAATATTCTTCATATGAGTACAAATAGAAAAAAAACACTGATGATTATTCATATATAACTAGTGCCGATTAATATAAGTGTTGACAAATATATCCTATCTATATCATTCATCTTCTTTATTCAACCGATAAATAATTGCCAGTACTTGAAAGACAAACGTTTGTGTATTTGCTTTAGGAGATAATCTTGTATAGAATAAGAAAAAAAGAAAATATATATTTCATATCATCGTTATTCTATATTCATATAACATTCAATAATGAACAAGTTCTTGTTTTTTGTGGTTTGTACTACATTGATTATTGCTTTTATTTATATGGTTCATGCTGATGATGAAAATGAATATGGTATGTTTTCATTTTCTATTGAGAAAAATAGAATTTTATTGTGATTTTGATTAGCTGCTAATGATGCACGACAATTCTTACAAAAGCGTCTTTTTGGTATCCCATTTCCTCGTGAACAACGTCGAGAAGCTAAAGAAAAATATGAAGAACGGTAAATTGAAGAAATAACATTCTTCCCATAATATGTTTATATTGTAGATGTGAACGAGCTTTAGGTATAAATAAAGTCACTGGACTACAACGATGGTGTCCAAAACTGGAAGTAAGATATGAATTCATTACAAAACAACATTTATATTTGAATTTTTCTTATTAGGAATGGGATCAATGGCGTGCAGCTACAAGTGGAGATAAACGACGTAAAGGATGAAAATTGAAATACAAATGCTTTTGATTGTAATGCTATACTTTTTATAATAAGCATAAGAAATTTTAAAAAAATTGAATTTAAGAAATAAACTTGTCTTACTTCTCGCTTTTCCTTATGCTTTTTAGTATCACAATATTCTTGTATGACGAACTGTGGATTTAGATATCTATGATAGTTCTTGAAATATCTATACTTAAAATTGTTCAAAGCTTTTTAGGATTTCTAATCTATAAGTGCAGAATTTTGTGATGGAAGTTTAGCGTCAATCAAAAGTTTTGTCTTCTTTGGAAAAATTCCGTTTTTTTTTTATCAGAGTTGGTGCATTCAAGTATGAAACTTGCTGAAAAAAGACAAATTGATATTTTTTTTTAGCATATGAGAACTAGGCACAAGATATGCATTTAATGTGTTTTTTTATCTAATATCAATCAACAAGAAATTACAAAATACAAGACAACTTCAAAACAAAGTCCATTTCGTATCGTTTCTTTATCTACTTAATAATATGTGGAGATAAGATTATTGGACCATGATTGCCATATATAATAAACAAAAAGAATTTGGTCTACTTATAAAATATTTATGATAAAATACGCCAAAATGAATAATTGATATTTTCTTGTTTCTATGCAAAATGATCAGAAATGCAGAATTTCTTGATCTAGTTTTCGTCTCTATTAAGAGTGAGATGTAAGGAGATGGCAAATCTATGATCCTATTCAGCGATATCCTTTGTCAAACAAATCTTCTAACAACTAATATTCATCAAATCTTAGAATTTTGGATAGTATTGTATTCATAAATTGCCTTGCAACCGAATTTTAACAAAAAGAAATAATTTTTTTTCTGTTCTTATGCATATGAAACTCAAAGGTGAAACATTGTTTGACATATTTATAATAAACGTATTATTTCATGATTATTTAACTGAAAATCGCTCACAAAGGTTCGAATATATAACGAACTAGAAAAGCAAATAATTTTCGTTATACTATTTTCTAGGTTCAATAATCAATCAGTTGTGATTATGATGATAAACTGTCTTCACATTGATGATAATCGTGTATTGTATTTTGCCATTCGATTATTGCTATATGTGATGAAATTTTATTTAAACCATCTCGATTATATATGAATGATATTGGTTAGCAAAACAATAATCTAAAGTCTAATGAATTTGTATAGAAATAAAACATTGATTTTAATTATTGTATTAAGCATACAATCGATCGCAAATCGCTTATTGTATAAAAAGTAAAAAAAAAAAATGATTAATACTTGAGTTAATTCAGTTGATCCTTATAAAACTTATCATTATCGAGTAAGATTTTGCTTGATTCTTTTCAATGACAGCATTGAAGCTTTTATTCTTAAAATAAACTTAGGCATAAATGATGTATGAAATAGATAGAAAATAAGACTCAGATCTTTTATATGTTACGTTTTAGATGCAAATGTATAACACATATACATAAAGACATTCTTTTGATTCCACATCGTATATTTCTGATGGAGACATTAAGGGTGTGGGTTATTTATTTCATCTTATTTTAACAATTATAATACTTTTTGGTTTTCTCTATATCAGTTGGAGTTAGTTTAACATTCATGTAAGTAATATGATGTCCTTCATATTTTGGAACTAGGGTTGGTTTTCCATTGCTTGAATAAGAATAATCAGGATAGTGCATAATGGAATAGTAATCGTACGGCATTCCCAATGTGGTAAAGGCATTACCATTGTATTTGTCGAATGCATAGTGGAAACCTAAAAAATGAAATCAAAGTAAAAGCGGACAGAATAATACATGTGGGATTAACATATGAAAAATACTATGGTCGCCATGCTACTAACAAAATAGCTATTACTTTCATTGATTAGCAAAAGTAAAACAATAGACTTTGAATTTTGAGTGCATTTTGTCAGGTTTAGTAATAGCAATGTGATAGACTTGACTCGCATTACTGCGTCTGTCACATCTGAGAAGCGAATGTTCAAATTTCTCAAATTAATTATGAGACAAAGGTATCGGTATCAATTAAGTTATAGATGATTGATAAATAATTGTCAATACTTCAATAAATTAAAAAAAAAACACTATGTAATAGATTCTCTTACTTGAATCAATATTGTCCCACTTGATTTCAACATAATTGTCTCTATCAGGTCTCTGGTGTTCATGTCCAAAGCCAATAGCGTGACCTAATTCATGCACGTACTGCCCAACACTCATACATGTTGGCGCATACATTTTCACAAATTGTCGTCCACCTTGTCGACCAACATATGAATAGCAATAGTTGTTCGTTCCATCGTTAGGCGTCAATTCGAGATAGTCACGATCTTGACTGGATGCAGGAACAAACCTGATACATGTCTTTGATTCCCACTCTCGAATAGACTCTGCAATTACTGCTCTCTCATTATCATTGTACAGTGAACTGATCACATATGGAACTCTTGCATTTGGCCATTTGTATCTTGGAGCAATCCATACATTGGCACGAGCTTTAGACGTCGATGGAAAATGCTCACGAAAATCAGTCCTATTAAAGCCATACTCTTCCAGTGTTAACGATTTGCCTCGTTCAAAATCTCCATTAGTTAGATAAGGTGGTCGCAATACTATTGGAATAGGATTACATCTAGTACATATAATTACTAAAAAAAATGAAAGAAAAAATTTTATTTTGTCAAACTTATGAACATTTAATAGAATCTTACCCGAATAAAAGAGAATACTTATAATGATAATAATCTTCATCAGAAACTTTCTAATAATTTTCGTGAGAGAAAAATGAAAAAGCAAAGAAAAATATTCTATGTTTTATGTATTTTTTATTGGTTTCATATCATATTTCTATTTATTGCAATTTTAATACGTATGTTTTTTTCGTAGCCACCTATCAACTTCGACACATGCAACCTTAATACTCTTAATTCGTTTTAAATTGACATATCAAGCGTTAGTGCTACCGAAAAATGGTATCATTATAGAACCAGGTATTTATTAATTTATAAGATCATACCTTTTCTTATTAGCTGGCATTGATTTATCCTTGATGTTCAGTAAACAAAAACTCACTATGTTTTCTATTTTTTATGAATAACTTCAAGTAAGAAGACGTAAATTTTTGTCAAAGATCATCTATCAATCAAAGTACATGTGCCTAACTTTACAATAAACTTATCGAAAATCGTTAAAATGAGCTTTACCATACCAAAACTTGCAATTTCCTTTAAACAGATAATTTCAACGCTTGATCTTGTTGAGTTTGATTGATCAATTGTCTTCAAAGTTCAATCTCAATTAGAGGAACATTTTACTAAAACTTTGAGACAAATTTATAGATTCGTAGATACTGGACATTTTTATAAATTAATCTATCAATTATTACATAGATTTATGCCTTCCATTTCGTTCTTACCAAGGAATGATATTTGTCCAAAAGAAAAAAATTGGAATGATGATTTTATGCAATAATCATCGGACATTGAAGTGAAACAATCTTTTAAAAACTCGGCTGAAAATTGAATCCCTTCAGAAATGATCAGAGCCGAGCAAGTACGAGTACGTACTCGTAATCAAGAAAAACTGTACTTGTAAGCTCACCATGTAATTATTTTTGATATCTACATCGAGAACAAAGGAAAGCAAATCAACTTTCAAGGTTACTCAAATATTTGCTATCTTTATACTCAAGAAGAATCATTGGAAAATATTGTCGATCAACCAACAAATAAAATCAGTACTGGTCGTAACCACTTCTTTTTGTACATCTAATTAGATGAATAACGTTTTTTCAATGTTTTATACAGCTAAGGAACCAAATCTAATTGCAAAAATATCTTCGTGGAATATTTCTTAACATTGGTCTCAAGCATTGAATCACAACAATAGAATGTGAATTTAATATAAAAAGATTTGTACGAAATTATATTATATAAAGACGACAAACTAATAGTGTTTGTCTAAGTATTTATAAAATACTCTTTTGTTTTTCTAGGATTGAATTTATTGATTGAATATAAGTGAACAAGAAAATAGCTTGAAAGATCTGTTTCTTGAAGATAAAATGAAGCTTATAATAGATTTATTATTACTATTTTTAGATGATTATTGCTCGTTCTTAGATATTATTGTTTAAGTTCTGTCATAAAAATAGTTTTGATTTATTTGTTCCAGCATGATACGTGAAAACCCATAAAAATCTTTATCATTGACCAAAAGATCATATAGCAATGATCAAAAGGCTTTTATTCAAATATCTTTATTTGACGTGAAAAGACGACTTCAAGAGAAAAAAATCTTGATGGAACACTATTTAGATCGCTTTATACTAAGCTTCGAATTTATGTATGTAGGGAAATGAAACTCTTCTTCGTTTGCTTTCCTAGTTTTATTTCTTCATTAGATATATGTGACTTAGCTGGTGATGAACCATCAAGGAATAGTGGAAGACAATTCATTGAAACTCGTCTAGAATGACTCATCTTCTTAATAGAGGTTATCGATCAGTAGAATCGAAAAATGGTCAATAACGTCCGATATACATGTATATATATATATTGCTACGTTTTTCCAAAAAATTAACATAAAATATTCATCAATATTGAATGTTCATATACTTTTCATTGTGTTAGTTGAATACAATTATATCTTGATATCTCAATCGTGTTATGTATTTCTTTATTTCAATAATGCATAATTCAAATCTCCACGGTAATTCTAAAGCTGATCGTATTGCTCAATATCCTATGTTGTTTGATCAAATTTTCTTGGATTTTCTTGGAGTTTGAAAATTTGAATTATTAGATCGTCGTTTAAAGACAAATCAAAATCCATGATATCGGCAACGAATATTTGAAAAACCTAGCTGTAAGCGTCGAACAAATTCTTTTTCTAATTGCTGCAAGCCTTTTTTAAATAATATTTATTCACATCGTTGTTTTCCTTATGTAACAACTGTGAATAACATCAATATCGATATTGATAACAATGATTCATGTGATAATGCAGATGTCATTCTACAAGAAAAACATGTTATGACGTTAGAAGATGATTTTGCAAGTAGAAAAAAAATTTCCCTTTTCAAACTCTTCGATTTCGTATTTAGCAATAGAGATTTATTTTGATAGGTAAGAATGCGAATGAATGTGAAAAAGAATTAGACGATGATGCATGTCAAGCATTGTATGATGAAAATTCGTATTTAGGGGTGTAAGTAGATAGTGTGAGTGTGGATGGCGGTGTGCGTGTGGTATAAGTCCTCTCTAGATCGCACACTCATACTTGCATCCACCACACCCACATCCACCATTTATTTGAGAAGATGGATCAAGAATTGTTGTATAATAGATTGCTTCGTGAATAATATGCATTTCCGCAGCACATAAGACGACGAAGATTGTTAAATCATAGGGCACTAGTCATTTCTTCAAGATTGTTGATGTTGAAAACATGGTCATGCAAAGACGTTCGACGAGGAAGTGCATGGGACTGTAGGTGTGATAGATGTGGGAGATAGATGCAGATGTGGACGCCAGAAAAACCAGCATCAGTCTACATCCACACCCGCACACTCTTTTTTCGATCCTTGTCATCACCTTATAATAAGCATCTAACCCATGTCCTCAATTTTCAGAAATTCTAAGAAGTTTTTTATAACTTGCCTACTTAATTAATAGCGTGTGGGCGAAGGGAAAAATCACATACGTACTCTCTGTTATGTCATTTTTGCAAACCTAGCCTCGAGGATGTCAGATGTAAGAATCAAAGACTTAGTTTTTTGAAGTTCATTTAAGTTAATTTAATTCTGTTGATGAATTAAATTGTTTCATATTTTTCAATTTTCTATTGGCATAGCCAGATCTTTGGATATGGTAGAACTAAAGCATATTTAAATTGCACGTTCTTCTAAAAGTAGGATTGATAGAAGTTTATTTTAAAAGCTTAAAAAATTGTTGTTGTATTCAAAAACAAGTATATTTTGCCATTCAAACGATTCTTTTAAACCATTTTTCAACTACTTCATTGACTTTTCCTGGATTTTCTTTCATAGTCCAATGACTTGTTTCTAATTCAATTGTTTCCAAATCAGCAATATACTGCTTGTGATCAGCAAAAAATTGCGGAATACATATATAATCTTTCATCGCAGCAACGTAAAGAACTGGCCGTTTTATTGTTGGATCAAGACTCTTTTCATCGTCCCAATCAACATTATCAATAGCTGATTTATACCAATTTAATTTTGGTTGAATTCCTTCAGTTATACATTTACGTATTATTTCACAATCTTTATGTGTTAAGCATGAAGCTCGAGTTGTTGTCTTTTCCTTTGCCAACCATTCTCGAGCTTTACTAAGGGGAGGAAAATCTGTTTTCCACAATGTTGAATCATTTGCATAACCAAGATCGATCAATCGATCTGGATTACCTTCGAGAACTTTTGCTGCATCATTGAAATCAAAAAATTCCCAGTAGCCAACAGTTTCATAACCTAGATTTTTCTTGGTGAATGTTAGCGTTTGTTCGAAGTCGAACTTCGTCGGTGCACGATAACCAACATTAAATAAAATAAGACCTAATGTACGTTCCGGATGATATAAAACAAATCGAGTTGCCGGTCGAACATCCTAATCGTGTCCAAGAACGATGACTTTATTTAAATTGAGGTGATCAAGAAGAGTTATAAGATGTTGAATCATAGTCTTAGTTTTGTATTCACTTGCATCCAATGGAGAATATGTTTTACCGTAACCCATTAAATTTGGTGCTAAACAGCCATATCCTTGTTTAGAAAAATAAGCAATTTGATGACACCAACAATAGAAAGACGATGGAAAACCATGAAGAAATAATAAGACCGGGTTTGAATTGTCTGTTGCCATGATACAAACATATTCATAATTAATACCATCAGCAACTGTGTAATTTTTGTGTTTCAAACATGTCAGTCATGTTATCAAATGAGTGTAAGAATAACAAAAAAGCCTACCAAACAAAAATAGGAACAGAACAACAACATGGTTTTATTTATCTCGCATAATAACTTGATAAATAAAACATATCTGCGCTCTCATTTGCATCTTTCTCTTTTTATTCTATCTTAACTTTGTTTTTTTCTTTCTTATATCGTTGATATCATTTGAGATTTCATGTTCTAAATGGTAAATGTGTTGTTGATTGCTGGCAACTATGTTAATTTTACTCTAAGTAAAAAAATTTCAGCAATGTCTGGATATTACTGCTTTGAATAACGGCAAGCTATAGACTGATATGGGCAAAACAACAAGCATTTCATTACATTTATCGTTTACAACGTAAACATAATCGTCATAAGTTTCGAATGCATTTTATTCATCGATATCGATATTTTCAACCTCATAGTGCACCTCAGAAACCTGAGATCAAGCTTAAACGTAGGTTGTGAGTGTAAAAAAAGAAAATATCAATATGCACACTTGCATCTTACATTCGTTATCAGTATCAGATGATTGTAAATCTTCAAACAGCTTCAAATGAAAGTTTGGCATATTTTTATTTAGGTAAAGAGAATATTTGCAGATTAATGTATTTTATCGGTGTAATCCGGAGGATTGCGATGATAAATGACTGACGAGATGAGACAAAGTAGAGAAGATAAATTGGAAAGTAAGTTTGGTTCTTGTGAATCTCTGATGCCGAAAGTAAATCGCTCAAGGCAAATAAATTAATCAATATTAATTGAAGTACCAAAGTGTATTGCATCTTTCAATTATGCTCAGACATGATGATTGTAATGCATCATAAAGAAAATTCAATTTCAGTGCAATGGGTAAAATAGTTACAAGATATCGAAAGCAAAAATTACGATTCGAGAATATGATGAAATATAGCATAATCATCGAGATACTCACATAGTTCAAAGAAAATCTCATTAGAAAAGTTTTCAAGGCAATTGATTTTCTAAGAAAAACAATATATTAAGATTTACCTTGATTTGACAAAGGTTTCTTGTGAGAAACTTATAGTGTATTGTCTATTCTACGTAATACTGTATAATGAACTTTGCAATATTCATGGTCCTATCATCAACAGACTCGGTAATGCTTATGAAGAAGCATTCCCAAGTGGCACATCGCTTTTGACGTGAAACCTAATGAGCCCTAGGTAATCGAATGCGCTGATTCCGTATATCATAATATTTTTTGCTGCTAGGTCTTGGGAGAATCAGTTTTCTAAAAAAAACGAGTTTTTGAGCTCGAAAGACTTTTTGTGCAAAACAATAATTTTGATCGGCTTATCGTGTACAACATGTTGAGTTGTGCATACAACTTATTTTCTGCTTTGAAATCTTGAGAAAGTCAGAAAAACTAGAAAAGGATGAAGCCTGACAAACAAAGCGATTTAGAAAGATACACTTTTTTTCAACGAATAAAGAGTCTGAAAAAAATTTCATGGTTACAGTTGAATTTTTAGCAACCAGAAGAGCTGTCTAAAGCGATTTTTGATCACAGTATTGTGGGTTTCTCGCCGGTTAGGATAGGAACAGCATTTGTTAACTCGAGCAACTGTTTTAATCACAGAAAAAATCGCACGTAAGGTCAAAACTTTGAAGAGTATTGAAATGCACTTCATTTTTCAGATTTTACTTTTCTTTTCTGACTTTGTAGAGGTTTCAAAACAGAAAAAAATAGTTTTGTACAAAACTCGATATGCTGTACACGATAGGCCGATCAAAATAATTGTTTTGCGCAAAATGCTTTTCGAGCTCAAAGATCGTTCTTTTTTTAGAAAACCGAGTCTCGCAAGGCCTAGCAGCAGAAACCATTGTGATATACGGAAACAGCGCATTTGATTACGTAGGGCTCTCTAGGTTTCACATCAAAAGCGATGTGACACTTGGAAATGTTTCCGTGTGAGTCCTACTGATAGCAAAAATATGGAATCGAACAGCGTCCGACAGTCGAATATATTCACTTGTAAGTATTTTACAGAAGAATTTTATTCCTCTCGTAATTCATAGGATGGGGGTATGGTTTTATGTGTCGAAGAATTAGTATGGCCATTGGGTAAAGAAAAGAGGAAAAGTTGCAGGCGCACACGTACACTTATCAACAGCTATATCCTGCATAACAGTCTCGACTTACATGAAGTTGCCAATGTATCACTTCACTTTATATTGTGATAAATGAGAGTAGTGTATATTAATGAGGTCACCTTATTTCATTCATAATAATTTAGATTTAACTGTGAAGGTTTAAAGTTACATCTAACTGTGAAAGTGCAAGATCACTCAAAATGCCACATAGTTTTTGATGATAGATGATTTTTGTTAACTAATTTATTGTTCTTTTCTACTAGAACATAAAAAGATTTAAATGTTATATTATTTGTTTTGCATTTGTTGAGTCTTCTAGATTTTTAAATTTATGATGAAGTAATGAAAAAAATACGCTTATTTGAAAATGTACACAGTGTGGTATAAATAAAACGTAAGATCAGTTTCCTCCAAGTTTGTCTCGTTACTCATCATTATTTTGTTTTTGTTCAATCAAATTAAAATTTTAATTAATACATTTCTTATTTGCAGATTACGAACACAGTATATTGAAGCGGTTCTAAAAGATAAAATGTTGTATATCTAACATACGTC